CTCCTTCTCCTCCTCCTCCTCCTCCTCCTCCTCCTCCTCCTCCTCCTCCTCCTCCCCTTCCCCTCCCCCTCCTCCTCCCCCCCGTTTTTGTTTCCTCCTCTTCCTATTATTTATCCCCCTCCTCCTCCGAGGCTCCGTGGTCTTCGGGGGACTCCTGGGCTGTGGAGATGCCCGGGGCCGCTTGGTGAGGCCCGAACAGCGGGATGCACTCCAGAGAGGGCAGTCCTAAGAGGCCAGATGTAGTTTCAGAAGGTTGAGAGCTTTTGCGCCGTTCGCCGAGAATCAGACATTGAGAAATTGCCCGCCCAGACAAGTCGACCAAGGAAATCTGCACTGGTTCACTCGAAATCGGTATTCGGATGTACCGGTGCAGTCCCCAGTCGGTTTCGCTCATCGACGTGTGTTTTGTTGAGTACATTCACTTGATTTTGGACGTCGATCGGCTATCCCGCCTGGGTCCACTTGGAATGCGGTGCCGTGCGCACATGGAGTGTCCCTGGAAGTTGTCATTGAAGGGTGCTTTGCTAAAAGGTGTTCTGTCGATCCTGGAAAGAAACGTCCTGCACCTCCTTGCTAGCTTCGGGCCAGCGTTTCTTCGGCAACGATCGGGCTCCAGGGGGCCGTTGGGGTGGCCCCAGAGACCCTCGGCGGGGCGCATCTGCTGGAGAGCACCCCGAGGACCCAAAGGCTTCGAGACAAGAATCCGAAAGCCTCAAACAAGCTCTGGGGGCCACCAAATATACAACTGTCTATATGGCCTCCTCCCCGCTCGGCTCCCGAGGCGTCTCGAGAGTGTGCCCGGACACACCACACGGGCAGGCGTGACCCACCCCGCTCGTCAAGCGCACCCTCGTCCCTTCCGACGCAACTGCTGCAGCACGCGCTGCGGCTCTCCAGAGCCGTGGCCCCCCGCCTCCGTCCTCCTCCCTCCCCCCCCGCCCCTCGCCGGGACGACGGTGGCGGTGGCGGTGGACGGTGCCTTGGACGCGACGGTTGTGGTCAGCAAACGCTCGCTCACAGAGAGCTCGCGGCAAAAATGAAGAAGCTACATCTGACGGTGTACGGAGCGGCTCGGCGGAGCGGCGGAGCGGGGCGGAGCGGGGAATGGAGCAGTGGAGCTCGTGTCGAGCCTCTTCCCCACCCCCACCCACCACGCCCCCGAGCGCCCGGACCCCTGCCCCAATGCTCCCTGATCCGGGCCTCCCAGACGGGGTCCAAGCAGATGGGGTTGGAGGATCGCGCCGCATCGCCGATGCATCGACGATGCGGCTCCACGCCGACGGCGCCGCCGATGCATGGGCGATGCAGTGGCGATGCGACGATCCTCCGACCCCATCTTACGCGGACCCCACTAGAGAGGCCTCCACCTGCTCACCAGGCCCCGATGTGATGCCGCCGCCGCTCCCGCTGACCGAGACGCCGCTGACCGCAGCGCCAGCGCCGCCGCTGCTGCCCCAGACATCCGGCGTCTCCATTGTTTCCAACCCTCCTGTGTTGGGTTCTTAAACAGAGCACTGGTCGCGCAATCTCCCGTCCACTCTCTCGTTCTCCCAACCCTTCCTCGGTTGGGTTCTCGTTTTGAGTGGAGTACTGCTTGGGCGTCCTCTTCCTCCCGCCTCCGCCGTCCTCCTCGCCCTCCGTTATCGCATCTTCCGCCTACCTCCTGCTGTATCCTGTGCGCGCCGCCGGGGGAGGGGGCGAACTGCGCAGGTGTCGCCACTTTTCGTGGGCTGCTGGGAGGCACGGCGGAGGTGAAGGCCACGTGGATCTCTTCAAGACCCCGCGGCTCTCTCGGGGGCTGCGAACTGCGCCATTGTCGCCACATTCTGTGGCCTCCAGGGAGGCACGGCGGAGGCGAGGGCCACGCAGAGGTCCACTTGGAACCTCGCTTCAGGGGCTGCGAACCGGGCAACCGCCGACACTTTCGGGGGCTCCTGGGAGGCACGGCGGAGGTGAGGGCCACGCGGATCATTTGAGAACTCGCGGCTCCCTTGCGGGTTGCCCTCGGTGGTCGCGAAGGGTGCAGCCGTCGCCACGCTCGTGGGCTCCTGAGAGGTCCAGCGGAGCGCAGGGCAGCGCAGATCATTTGAGGCCTCGGGGCTCCTTCGTGGGCTGCGAACCGCGCACTTGTCGCCACGTTCGTGGGCTCCTGGGAGGTCCAACGGAGTCAGGGCAGCGCAGATCATCTGAGGCCTCGCGGCTTCGCTCATGGTTGCGACCGCCGCCACTCTCGTGGGCTCCTGGGAGCCGTGGCGGAGTGCAAGGCAGCGCAGATCGCGCAGATCTCGCGAACCGTTCTTTGGTATGGGACGTTCGTGCAAACAGTCACCTCGCGTGGATAAGGGGGCGGGTACGTCTCGCGTACATTCGAGTCACGGGCCCCTCGGTGGCAACGACGGGTGGGGGATGGGCTCAGGGAGGGGAAGCATCGAGCTGGAATCGTCGATGCGTCGCCGACAGATCGGCGATAGGCCCCCGATTGCAATCCGCACCTTCCTGGGTGGGGTGGGCCATCAGGGCCCCCCATCGGCGATGTATCGCCAAATCCAGCTCGATTCGCCTCGCGTGGAGAAGGGGGCGGGCACGTCTCGCGTACATTCGAGACACGGGCCCCTCGGGGGCAACGACTGGTGGGGGATGGGCTCCGGGGGGGAAGCATCGAGCTGGAATTGGCGATGCGTCGCCGATTGATCGGCGATAGGCCCCCGATAGCAATCCGCACCTTCCTGGGCGGGGTGGGCCATCAGGGCCCCCTGTCGGCAATGTATCGCCAAATCCAGCTCGATGTTCCCACCCGGAGCCTATGCCCCCCTATCGATCCGTGCCCCTCAGCCCCCGGCCTCTCATCCGCTTCCCTGGGACTGGTTTGGCATCCCGAGTCGATGTTTGGCGGCCCCGAGGCCTTGCAATCAAGGGAGGAAAAACCACCCGGACCCGACAATTGGCGTTTACGAAACGGCCTTGGGCGTTTACTAAACAGCCCTGCCCTGTTTGATTCCTTCACTGGGTGCGTTTACTAAACGGCCTCGCGTGTCGGGGTGGTGACTATCGGGGTGGATTTTCTGCCCTCTGTGCAAGGGTCCCGAGAGGCCGAAAACGATGAGAAGAACTTCCGTCCCGAAGTTTTCTCCAGACGCCCGATGCCTGTGGCTCCCGTTGACTTCTGGGAGCGGCGGCGATGCCGCCGCCGACGCTCTGGCTGGGCGCGGGTGCGGGCACCGCGGAGGGGCGCCACCGGCGGGCCGCGCCGCGGCCGGGGAGAGGCGCCTTGCCCCGCCCCGCCCCAGCGGCGGCGTCGTCCGCGGCCGGCGGCGACGGCGGCGGCCAACCGCGACGGCGGGCGGCGGCGGCGGCGGCGGCGGCGGCGGCGGCGGCGGCGGCGGCGGCGGCGGCGACGACGACGACGACGACGACGACGACGACGACGACGACGACGACGACGACGACGACGACGACGACGACGACGACGACGACGACGACGACGACCGCGACGACGTGGAGGGCCCCCTTCGACAACGGGGGCGGCGGCGGCAACGACGTGGAGGGCCAGCGGCGGGGGCAGCGGCAGCGGCGACGACGACGACGAAGAAATCGCAAGCATGCAAACAGATCACGACCAGAGTCCTCCTCGTGCTTGATTTCTTGGGCCCGATCGAGCCGTGCGGGTCCCCAGGGCCCGAGAGGGGGGCGAAGAGGCCCGCCTCGGGGAGCGGGAAGCAGGAGGCAGCCAGTTGTCTCCTATCTGCTGCTCTGGCTGACCCGGGCTTGGGGAGCCATCTGGGGCCAACTACAGTCAACCCGCGTAGTAAGGATGAGCAACCTTCCCAAGGTCACCCTTGCACCCTTGCCCCTTCGGCCCATCTCTGGCAACTTTCGCTGGCCAGCCCCGCTCGAAAAGTGTCGACGTGGGCCTTCCAAGGCCCTTGCATCCTTACCGCACATCCTTATCATACTGGTCGACTATCCCCTCCCCCCCTTGCGTCCAGACGTCTTGGCGCCGTAGAAACACACGACGGGAGGCTCTGGGCTTCGGGCCCGTCCCTCTACAGGAGGAATATCCAAAAATAGTCGGGGGACGATTTTGATTGTTTTCGAATATTTCAAAGTATGTTTGGGGTATCTTTCATTCTTCGTCCAGAATCTGCCTGCAGGGGGACATGCCCAACCTAACTCTGGGGGCCCACGCTGCGGAAAAAAGCACGACGTCGCGGGCCCGGGTGCAGTAGGAGCTCGACCACAAGAGTCCTTACACAAGAAACCCAAGCCTGAGACCCCCGGACGTCCATGGGTTCTCGGTGTGGAGACGTCGACGTTCTCCACAGCAGAACCCTCGAAACCCAGGAACCCCAGGGCACCCTGGAGGCAAGCCAGGGTGTTTCTTGGCATGGGTTTCCACTGTGTGGGGCCGCCCCCTTCCGCTCCCTCCGCTGACCCGAGTTGGGGTCTTGGTCGGCCCAGGCTCGCGACACGGCTGCCTCCAACGCCGGGTTGGTGCTGACCCAGAGCGGCCCGTCCGCCGACCGCCGTGCTTCTCAGCGACGCCTGGAGGTCATGGATTATCCCCGCACCCCCTCAATGGCCCCGCCCTTCCATCTCTCCCCTCGGTACCGTCTTCTTCCCTTCCCTGGTCAACTGCGCCATCCTGGCTCCCCTTCGGCGGATGAGAGGCGGAGGAGGACCCTGTAGAGCTCCTGAAACAGATACCGCCTTGCAAGGCTTCTATACATGTCATACGACGAGACGACGACAACGATGATTCAACAACACGACGAGATAACTACACAAGGGCTACGGCGACGACCACGACGACCACCACCACGACCACGATCACGACGATGCCATGACGGCGAACACGCTCATCTGAAGACGACGGCGGCAATACGACGAGTCAACGACGAAACGGCGAGAAGACCAGCACCACGACGGCAACGACGACGGCGGCGACGACGACCAGCACGACGGAGACGACGACGACGACGACGACGACGACGACGACGACAACAACGATCACGACGTCGACGTCGACGTCGACGTCCACGACGACGTCGATGACGACGACAACAACGACGACGACGACGACAACGACGACGATGACGGCGACGGTGGCGACGACGACGACGACGGCGACGGCGACGGCGACGGCACTGGCGACGACAACGACGGCGAAGACGACGACGACATCGTCGACGACGTGGAGGGCCCCCTTCGACAACGGGGCAGCCCCCAAGCCCAGGCTGCAGGCCCGCGAGCGCCCCAGCGAGCCCGCTGCCTCTGGAAAGGAGCCTGGCTGGTGCCGCAGCCGCCGCCGCCTCGCCGCCGTCGGCGCCCGACGACGGCGACGACGGCGATGACGACGATGACGACGACGATACGGCGACGACGACGACGACGACGACGATGACGACGATGATGACGAAGGAGGAGGCGGAGGAGGAGGAGGAAGGTAAACCCAGGATGCATCAACGATACTGCAATACACCCTCCATCCCCAAGTTCCCTCATAAGTCGCTGCAGGCCCTCCTGTTCACTGCGGGATGAGTCCACTTGAAAGACGAGCAATCCATGTGATTGCCATTCAGACGATTGGAATTGTTTGATAACGAACTGGCCTGTATCTTTGTCGCTCTCAGGAGCGCGAAGAGTACGATCAGATAGCTCCAGGAAGTACCTGGCGAGAGCCCCGCCCTGAAAATGATACAGCCTCCATTCGTGTAGTTCTAGTAAAACATCACGCTTCTATCCAGCCCCAAGCGAGGCCCCATTTTGGAAAGGAGCCGTTCTGCACCCATGTAATTGTTCGAAGTTTTGGAATCAGATCTGGGCGGCGCTAAAGCGAGAGCCCCATCCTGAAAGCCACCCGCCCTCCAGCCATGTAATTGATGGAGAGTTTTAGGCGGAGCGAGCCGCGCTACCGCCAGAGCCCCATTCGAAAGAAGGCATGCCCTCCATCCGCATCCAGATGCCTGCGGCAAGTCCCGCAACTGTGCCAGCCCAACATTTTGGGTGGCGCGTGTTCGGGTGATGATGGCGACGATGCGGCTGGTGATGATGATGGTGTTTTTGTTGATGATGACGTTGGCGCTGATGATGGTGATGATGCTGATGCTGATGATGATGGTGATGGTGATGATGATGATGGTGGTGGTGGTGGTGATGTTGTTGTTGATGATGGTGATGATTATGCGGATGATGATGATGACGCTGATGATGATGATGATGGTGGCGATGGTGTTGATGGTGATGCTGATGATGATGATGCTGTTGATGATGATGATGATGATGATGCTGATGCTGATGATGATGATGACGATGATGATGATGATGCCGATGATGATGCTGATGGTGATGGTGATGGTGATGATGATGATGATGATGATGATGATGATGATGATGATGATGATGATGATGATGATGATGATGATGATGATGATGATGATGATGATGATTATTAGGCCGCCGATTCCGATGGTGACGGGCAGCAGGAGCAGGAGTAGCAGACGCAGGATGAGGGGAGTAGGGTTCGGAGCAGGAGTAGGAGTAGGAGTCATGATAGCAGCAGCAGCAGCAGACGAAGATGCCGATGAGGAGGAGGAAGAGGAGGGGGAAGACGAATGCTTCGTTCCGTTCGGAGTCATCATGGAGCTCACGTCTCAGGGCTGCCCAGGGCTCCTGTGGGGCAGTCTTAGGGCCCCTCGGGGGGCTCTCTGGGGCCGCCGTGGCGATTCTGTTCGCATGTGTTGGCCGTCTTGGCAGCTTTCGTGACCCCCAGGGAGACGCCAAACCCATCCAAGATGCCTCAGATCCGTCCGCGCGCCCTTTTGAGCCTTCTTGAGGCCGCCTTGGACGCTAGTAATTTCACGTTGGAGCTCTCACTGGCCCTCTTGAGGCGGTCCTGAAGGCGTCCTGGGCTGCCTTTCAGGACTCAACGCGCCAGGAGGCATGGTGGCAAATAATTGCTGGGTGATGTTAACATGGACGTGCGCAAGGCGAGAGCCCCACTTTGAAAGCGGCGCACCATCCATCCTTGCAACTGCTTGACAAGACGCATGTTGTCGGCGCTTCGGCGAGAGGCACCTTTTGACAACGGTTGTGGAGGAGGAGGGGTCAGGGATCAGGCCGAGGCGCAACATCCGATTCGGATGAGGGTTGGCGGGCAAGGGGAAAAGGTGGAGGGCGCGGGATTCCCGTGTGTCACGGTCCCGCCGCCCTCCGCACAGGCCGAGGGCCATTAGGGCGCAGGCCGTGGTGGCAAGCAGCACGACGGCACCAGCCGTTGCTTGCCACCATAGCCTGCACCACCTAGCGGACCTCGCAACCCGCTATAGCAGCATCAATGCGCCAGGACTGCACCGAGGCCCTCTCAGCAGGGCCTCGGCAGTCCGCCAAAAGGCCCCTCCACATTGGGGCCTCGATGGAGACACGGGCGCCGCAGCGGCGGCACATCAAAAGCTTGTTTCTGGCCTGCACGCAATGGCCCCGATACTCGAAAGTTTCCAGAGCCTGCACGCGCAGGCCATCATAAGTGAGCCCTAGCTCACGGCAGGCGTTCAAGACAGCATCACGACGCGCCCTTGGGAGGAGGCCATTGTGGCGCTCGGCTCTAACAGCTGCGAGATACAAGTGGAGCGGCGCGGGCCCACACTTATTGCCAGGCTGCTCAAGCTTTGCTCGAGAGAGCGAAGTCTTGCTTGGGCAGTGGCACCACGCACACCTCACCCCCCCCACTCCGCCACCTCCAGGTCGTGAGAAAGGAGGGAAAGCTGAGGCACCGCCAAGGGGTTACGGCAGGGCCTCGCAGACATGGAAGAGAAATCAGTTTGAGACGCGACAAATTGAGCGACCTGACCCAGAAATCTGCATGTCTTTCTCACGTCTTTCAAATGCGCTTTTAAAGTGGCGGTGGCGATGTTAGCAATGGCATGTTGCTTCGCCCCCCAGCTTAGCAAAGAAATCGACCCGCATGTTGCCCAGATAATCGAAAACCGTAGTGTCCACGGTTCGATCCAGGCTCGAGGCGCCCTGGCCAAGCAAGAGGAAGTCGAGGTATCCGTGGGCTGGGGTCCAGCGGACTCGGGGCCTCTCACTGGGCGGAGCTCCTGCTGGACACAACTGAAACAACTCTCGCCAGGTGGCAACCTGTAGCCAGCTCGGCAGACCAGCTCGATGCCTCTTGCACCGCAGAGGGGTGATCACTGATAATCTCAACTCGTCCCGGGCCGAGGCGGACCGCCTGCAGCAACGCATACCTGTCGTCCCTGGGGACGGCCTGGATTGCCCCTTTGAAAGGGGCCCAAAACAAGCCCGAATGGGACAACCCCAAGGACTGAGCTCGACCACGGTCCACCCGCAGTGGCAAGCTTCGGGTAGACCGTTCGAAAGCCTAGATCCGTCGGTAAAAAGCTGAAAGGCCCACGGCATGTTCGTGGCACCCCAGAACTGGGGAGAATACTTGGCTGGGACAGGAGCAATGCTGAGGGGGAGGAGAGGAACACCATACGCCAACTCCAGAGTGCCGAAGTCGGGGGGGGGGTACCTTTAGCTTTGTCCCGCAGCCAATTCACATGCTCAACCACGTCGTCTGGAAACAGGGATGCCTCGGCTGGGTCATCACTGGGTTCCCAAACTCCTGTACACTCATACCACTGGTGACCGAAAGTGCCAAGAGCATCGCAGCCGAATTCGCATTTGGGGCTGGCTACGTAGCCATGCTGATGTTTCTTGGCTGGCGGCCAAAGTTTCCCGCTGATCAGGCCTCTCATGGCCGCTTGTTTAGGATGGCCCTTAACAGCCAATATCCCTAATCTGAGCGCGCGCGCGCGCGCCCAGACAGGCTCATCACCGCAAGCCTCGGGAATCGCCTCCAAAATCTGCCGCGCCCGGGCGCGACTGATGCCCTCGCGCAAACGCGGATTGACATCCCAGGGGCAAACGGCGAACCGAGAAATGATATCGCCCTGGCTCGTCCTGAGTTGATGGTGAAAAATTGAATAAAGCCCGCCCAACTCGCCGCAACGATAAAATGACCGCCCCTATGGGCCCCTGAACGCGATCCCAGCGAGGGCGACCACGCAAACGAGCTCAAGCCGCCGAGCAGGCAACTCGCAGGTCAGAACCGGGCGCTTTCCGATCCCAGACCCAGCAGCAATATCTGAACACTAGCAGGGTCGCAGCGTCGACTACAGGGTCAAAGCTGAGATCCTCGCGGGCATGCAAGACTAAGAAACCAGCGACGTGAGACGCACCACCAGCCCTCACAAGGCTCCCAGCTAAGGCCCTGAGAGTTCTGAGCGTGCCATTGCTCACTCCTGATACCGAGGCCCCGTGGCCTCCGCTGGACATGAGGCTTGTGCGCCACAAGCCGGCAACCTTGGTGCCCGCAGACTTCTTAAGCATCTGGATACGGCGCTTCCTCCTAACCAGCGCAGCTCGCCTCTTGGCGGCCACCTTTCGGAGAGCACGCCTGCCCAACAAATCATGACCAAGGCTTCGCATGTGATCAGATCCTCGCATTCCCATCAACTTGGCCGACATTGCCACATGCTTGGAAGCGACCAAGCTGGCGGCTACAAGCCCCGACTTATTGGGTTGCAACGGAAGGCCGATCGGGCGCACAAGATGACAGAAGTCCCTGGCCGCAGCAAGGACCACCATGCCTCGCTCAGGGTTGGGACCTGACCCGTGCAGAGAGACATCGCCCAGTAATGTTCCCGCCTGGACTGGAAACCTTTCAATCGCAAACTTAACTGGTTGCAGCAGCACTGCCATCATAATAGAGGTAGCCGCCGAGCATCCAGCTAAAATCCTGCGGTAAGAAACGAATGGCTCCGAAAGCGAGCCGAAAGCATCAATCCTCTGCGGGGCAATATAGATCTGGATGACCACCCAACCTAGGCGGAGCGGGAAACCGACCTCTCTAATGATCTGAAACAGGACCGAGAGCTTTGTCATATCGTTGCATTTAACCATGTCCAGCAAGAGGGCCACCGAGTGCCAGCCTCTGGCTCTGGCAACCTCGGCCGAAAGGTTCAAATCGAACGCAGAGCCCGACGCGCTTCTGCCCTCCCCAGACCCCCAAAACTCCCGAGTACGACCCCCCGCCTCCCACCCATCAGTAACAGAACGCCGAATGCGTCCCCAAACTCGCAGAATCGTGTCTGGAATAGCGATCAGCCCGCGGCCGCCGTCGGGTTTTGGCCGCCTGGCAAGCCTGCTCACCAGGCGCTCGATTGGCCAGACGAGTGCCCTTTCACACTGCATAAGTAGCGACGCAAGTGCGGCAAGCATCGCATCAGAAAGGTACTGGAGCGCACGAGGATGGATCTTACAACAGCCGACCGCCGACTTCGGGGGAAATCGCGCAATCGCCCTCCTCAAATCGTAGATCCCGAGCGGCGGCAGGCTCGCCCAATCCTTCAAATCGCTCGACAACTCCAAATCGTCGCCAGAATGAGTGGTCCAAATATGGGACCATTCGCGGCACGTATCGTCGGCAAGTTCGAAAGGTTGGATCCGATACTGTTCGGTGAGCACCCCTTGGATTCCACGGACCCCGGTAAAACGATGGGCAGCTTTGGCCCCGTCCAGGAACGCCCCCCTGACCCAGGACTTCCAGGCGTCCTCTTTGCTGGCCAAAGACACGGCCCCCTTGTCCTTGGCCAGGGGCAAAACTCGCTCAATCAAATCGGGCGTAGACGGATCACCTATCACATCCACTCCAAACCTGAAAAATTCTGCCGTCAGCACGTCGAGGTGGGCGAACACCCAATCGAGCCTCTGGATCCTGCCGAGGGATGCCTCGGTGTCGATCAGAACCTTGGCAACGCGCTTCAAGCTCCTCGGCTGCTCGTCCAAGTCCGCGCCAAGGTTGGGAAAGTACGACCCCCGCACGGCGCGCACACTACGCAGACGCCTGGCCCACCTGGCCGCGGCACTCCACGCTGCATACTCGCACGAGGGCCGAGGCTGTCGATGCTGTGGGACTGCACGGAGCGACGGGGTCCAACAACATCATGTCGGTCCAAAAGCTTAGCCTCGACACCCTGAATCGTTAAGCCCCAGAAACGTGCCAACTGATCAGCTGTCGTGGCATGTTGAATATCATCACGAAACTGCTTCCAATCCCGTGGAAGCCGCCCACAACCTCGCTTGGCCAGCGCAGGAAGAGAGTTTGGTTGATCAGCAACTCGGCACCACAAGACTGCGCCTTTGGCGTGAACTTGCATCAGCACAGGCCTATGTGGCCAGATCGCCGCAGTGTCCACCACTTCAATCATTCCAGAACGGATGGCGAACCCCCCAGACATGATGAAGTAATCAATCGTCGCACATGGTGTACTCTGAATACATGTGGGCGCAGACGGCGCCACCAGAACTCCTCCTATAGAAGTCGCCCATGGCTGCATCAGAGCGCGGCCCATGTTGTAGCCAGCTGCAACAACCCACTCATCCCCAAGCGCTCGCACTCGGAGCAGATACGAGCCAACATCGTGAGCGATGTCATACTATTATGTCACATCTCTTCGCTGGCGCGGAGATAAAAGCTAACACTGCCACGAAGCCTCCTTTGAACCAAGTGTGCACTAGCGCCGCAATAATTCTCTCGTCCAGCAGCACACCTTTGGTGTCTGCCAGCAACGGCCCAGCCGTCACCTGCACCTTCTTCGGCACAACCACCGCCACGCCACCGCTTGTGCCATGCCGCATGCCCGTGGCCAGTCTCCTTGGCTGGGGCCCATACAGCGTGGTAGCCGACCGCACTCATGCGTCCTTGAAATGGTCCCATCTTCGCAGCCGTGACGTGATGCTCCTGTACGCACATGATAGGCTGCTCATCTCCTAGCACAGGAGCATCGGCCTCGAACATCTCAGCAAGCGGGTTGACCGACGTTGTGCTGACAGTAGCAATGCGCGCCATGATGCCGACAAAAGAGAACTAGCACACAAACAGACCAAACAACGCCAACTGCCAACTACGCCGCCTTGTGCCGCTTCGCGAACGACGACAAAATGGCACCCGTCCTCTTGGCTGCTTCGCGCAACCCAACTTCATCATCTGGCACCTGCTGCTCGACAGAGCGGAGGAACTCTCGCAGCACCTCTGGATCGTCCGCCTCCGACAGGGTGGCTTGCTCCCAGCGCTGCCAGTGCTCGGCCGTCGCAGCTGCAGCAGCCTGAGCGGCCTGCTCGGCCTCCTGCTGCTGCTGCTGCTGCCGCTGGCTCGCCTCCTCGGCGGCGCGGCGCTGCTGAGCACTGCGCAGTGCCTCCGCCGCCTTCGCCTCAGCCAAGCACTCGAACAGCTTCTGCGCCAAAGCCGGCGTGCCACCAAAGCCTTTGAGCAACTCGCCACACTTCTCGACCGTGAGGTTGCTGGCAAGGAGCTGCTTGAGCCCCTGCGCGCCGTCGCCCATGGGCTTCTCAGGGGCCCGTGGTGCGCCAGCCACCAACTGGCACCGCTCGGCCTCAAACTCCGTGGTTTCCGCGATTGTGGCCTGAAGCGCCTTGGCCGCGTCCTCCACAGCTTTCTGCGCTTCTGTCAAAACCTGCTTGAGCTCCTCGACCACTTCGGTCTGGCGCTCCCGCTTTTTGGCCAACTTCGCGTGCTTAAAGGACATATCGTTGAGTCGCGTGTCCAAAGACTTGCCGCGAGTGATCTGACCTCGCAAGGTGGTCTGACGCGCTCGCAACTTCTCCCGCAACTCATCGAACCCTGGACCTTCCACATCTGCAATTTTCTGCAGCTTCTCGGTGACTGCACCGAGCTCCCTGCGTAAGTCTGCGTCGCTGTCCTTGCCCTCGTCGACATCCATGGTGTCGCCGTCGGGCTTTGTTGCGACCTCCTTCTTCCGTAGCTGTGTGACTTCATCGCGCAACTTCTTGAGCTCGGCAGTGAGCTTGGGGTCGGGCTGCGCTGGGGCCTTAAGCGCCGACATAGAGGGAGTGGCTGGCTGCTTGATCCCTGAAAATGCTGACGCCTTGGGCTGCTTGCATAGCGAGCAGTGAACGAGATCCGCCCTGTTCCACCACCTATCGCCAGTCTGATGCGACCAGCAGTGCTTGCAATACTCTTGCTTGTCCCATGCCTGGCGTCTCTGCTTGTGACCTGAGGGCGGCGCACCGCCTTGAGAAGCATCAGAGGGCGCCATGGGCCTTCCGTACTCGAGCGTGGAAGAGAAATCGTGCTGTGCACAGACGGGAAGCCCTCGCACAATACACGGTATGCAGCAGCGCTTCCAAGCTTGGGCAGGCCACTCGGGAGACGCGAGAGCGGTCGGGGACCGCACCTCCCCCACGCCAGAATCTCAAGTCCTGAGCGAAACATTACGGATTTGAGCCAAAATGGTTACGGACGGTTGTGGAGGAGGAGGAGGAGGAAGAAAAGAAGGAGGGGGAGGAGGAGGCGGAGAAGGCTCAGATGCTGATAGCGGCAGGCGACAGGGCTGAGCACTTGCCCGCACTGGAGAAGGGGCCGCTGCCCCCTGGCAGCAGCTCGCCCAAGATATTCAGGAAAAAGATCCAGAGGAGCTTCACGCATTGTGTAGGCTTGATTGGACAAGCTACACTGTATTGATGATGATGATGATGACGATGATGATGATGATGATGATGATGATGATGATGACGATAGTGCTGCTGATGATGATTACGACGATAACCATAATGAGAATGAGAAAGATGATGACGATGATGATGTTGATGCTGATGTTGATGATGATGATGATGTTGGTGGCGTTGATGATGATGGTATGATGATGTCGGTGATGTTGATGATGATGGTGATGATGATGATGTTGATGGTGATGGTGGTGCTGATGATGATGTTGTTGGTAGTGGTGATGTTGATGATGATGCTGATGATGAAAATAATAATAATAAGAAGAAGAATCAGAATAGTAATAGTAATAATAATAATAACAATAATAATAACAATAATGATAATAATAACGATGATGATGATGATGATGATGGTGGTGATGGTGATGGTGATGATGATGATGCTGATGATGCTGCTGCTTATGATGATGAAGAAGCTATACAGTCTTGCTGACCCGACGTGCTCAGCACAGGTTTAGCGAGCGCCCCCGTTGGTGACGGGGCGCCGCCGGGGAGGGGAGGGCAGCGCCGGCCATCCGCGCGAATGCCCGCAGCGTGAGCGTGAGCGTGAGTAGGAGGAGGAGGAGGAGGAGGAGGAGGAGGAGGAGGAGGAGGGGCGGGGAGAAGAAGGAGGAGGAGGAGGAAGAGGGGGAGAGCAGGAGGAGGAGGACGACGCGCCCATTTTCCACCACCACTACCATTGGTAGGACGGGGGAGAAGGGAGGATGGAGAGGTCCGCCTCCTCCTCCTCCTCCTCCTTCCCTTCCTCCTCCTCCTCCTCCTCCACCTCCTCCTCCTCATCATCATCATCATCATCCTCCTCCTCGTCCCTCTTCTATCTCTGGAAGCAGTGGTGGAAATCGGCCCATTCGATGACGAGGAGGCGGAAGAGGAAGACCTGTCCTTACCTTGTGCTGCTCTGTCTGTGTCCTTTCGTCCTTGCCTGCCTTGCTGCACCGTTCTCGGCAGCTCCCCAGGGATCTTGCGTCGTCGGGCTCCGACCGACCGACCGAAGAGCATGAGCGACGGAGCGGCGTGGAGGAGGAGGCGCCCCATCCCCCGCCCCTCCCGACGAGCCAGAGGAGCGGCCCGGGCGGCGCTTTCGCCACGCCGCGGGCGCCGTCGGAGGTTAGCCTCGGCGGGTGGTCCGCCAGGTCGGGCTCCGACGAGCGGGCCCCCTTCTTCCGCCACGGGATCTGCGAGGACTGGTCCGGGAGGCGGGAAGTGGAGGGAGGAGCGAGGAGCGAGGGGGAAGAGGAGGAGGAGGAGGAGGAGGAGGAAGAGGAGGAGGAGGAGGAGCGAGGAGTCAGGAGTCAGGAGCGAGGAGCGAGGTGAGGGAGAGGTTCAGGAGTATAGGTGGAGGAGGAAAGGAAAGTAGGAGGAGGAGGAGTCAGGAGCAAGGAGTCAGGAGTCAGGAGCGAGGAGCGAGGAGCGAGGAGAGGGAGAGGTTCAGGAGTAGAGGTGAAGGAGGAAGAGGAAAGAGGAGGAGGAGGAGGAGGAGGAGGAGTCAGGATTCATGAGCGAGGAGCGAGGACAGGAGTCAGGAGCGAGGAGTGGGAGAGGTGGAGAAGTGGTGTGGAGGAGCAAGAGGGAGGAGGAGGAGGAGGAGGAGGAGGAGGAGGAGGAGGAAGGGAGGAGCGAGGAGGAGCGAGGAGGAGTCAGGAGCGAGGAGCGAGGAGAGGGAGAGTTTCAGGAATAGAGGTGGAGGAGGAATAGAGAGGAGGAGGAGGAGGAGGAGAGGAGGAGGAGGAGGAGAAGGAGGAGAGGAAGAGGAAGAGGAAGAGGAAGAGGAGGAGGAGGAGGAGGAGGAGGAGCGAGGAGGAGGAGGAGTCAAAAGTCAGGAGCGAGGAGCGAGGAGCGAGGAGAGGGAGAGGTTTAGGAGTAGAGGTGGAGGAGGAGAGAGAAGGAGGAGGAGGAGGAGGAGGAGGAGGAGGAGGAGGAGGAAAAGGAGGAGGACGAGGAGGAGGAGGAGGAGCGAGCGAGCGAGGAGTCGGGAGTCAGGAGCGAGGAGAGAGGAGAGGTGAGGAGTCAGGAGTCGTGAGCGAGGAACGAGGAGAGGGAGAGGGTGAGAGAGGAGGAGGAGGAGGATGAGGAGGAGGAGGAGGAGGAAGTGGAGGAAAAGGAAAAGGAAACGAAAAGGACAAGGGAAAGGAACAGGAAAAGGAAAGGAAAGGAAAGGAAAGGAAATGGGGGAGGAGGAGGAGGAGGAGGAGCGAGGAGCCAGGAGTCAGGAGCGAGGAGCGAGGAGCGAGGAGCGAGGAGCGAGGAGTGGGAGAGGTTCAGGAGTAGAGGTGGAGGAGGAAGAGTGAGGAGGAGGATCCGCGCGCATCGAGGGGCGGGCTGACGGCCGCCTCCCAAGCGCCCGCGGTCGCGGGCGCGCCGAAAGGGGCCCTGCCGCCAGGCGAGGGCCCCTGGCCACGGGAGCCGCTCAAGGCAGGCTCCCGACGATGAGAGCAGGGGCCCTGCCGCCAGGCAAGGGCCCCTGGCCACGGGAGCCAGGCTCCCGACGAGGAGACAGGGGCCCTGCTGCGAGGCAAGGGCCCCTGGCCACGGGAGCCCGCAGGCAGCGGGCTCCCGACCACGGGGGCCCCCAACTGGGTCAGGCCCCCGACCATGCAAGTATCAGGTACTCGCGCATCTGGGTGCAGACCATCACCATCAGCGCGAGCCGGTACTGCTGGAGGACAAACTTCCGTCCAGCATCTTCATGGCGACCACGACCTTCGCGGAGATCGTGGGCGCCAACTTTTTCTCCAGCCTCGACAGCACAGCCTTGCGTTTGCTGCCAGGGTGACCGCACTCTTTCTTGAACGTGGAGGGCTTGGCTGCCGCGGAAGCGCCACACACCAGGCAAGCAATCATTGCCATGTCCTTGACAAGCTCCGAACTCCTCACGGGCGCTAGCTCCACGAGCACATGCTTCTTGTCCAACTTGGAATTCATCTCAAGCACCGTCGGGACGATGCTTCCTGGGCACTCCGATCTGCGGTCGTACCATCTGCACCTGGCACACCACTTGGCACCCTCGTCACCCCTGAGGTCGCACATCAGCTTGGTTGCCACAGGTCTGACTGCTGCCTTGGGTGCTGGCCTGTTGGGCTTCGCCGTGCGATGTGAGCAGTCCGTACCGTCGACTCGAGAACCCACGGCAGCAACCCACAGGGCCACCCCTTCAACAATCTCACGAGACTCCCGAAGCCGTCGACGATCAGCTTCGGAGATCCGCCCAACAGCAGCCGCCCGCTTGGCCGCTGTGTCCGCCAAGTAAATGCCATACCAATCACGATAACATGGGCCCGCACCGTCTGCGAGCCGTCGCCTGCTAGCGTGCGCCTGAATCTTCTCGATGGTCAAACCTCCAGGTCCCAAACCACCGAACTCATCGACCAGGGTCCAAATCTGCTTCCACACATTGGCCCAGGCATATGTATGATGCGTCGTCCGATCACGCCCGTGTTCCATGAGGCCCTTGAACACGAAGGAGCTGTCCGTAACCGCCACCACTGGTGGGAGGGAGAACCTTAGGGCGTGAAGCAAGGCTGCCAGCTCCCCACCGTTGATGTCCACGTAGGGCGCATCCAGCACCCCTGAGACGCCCTGGTAGAACTCGTCCGAGTCAGGCCTCAGCGCGATGACTGCCCAACCAATTGCAGTGTAACGCTCGTAGTCCCCTTCGTAAGCTGACCCGTCAAGATACTATCTCCCAGGAGGTAGCCAACCTTCACCAGGCATGCCGAGCCAACAAACCTCCGCTGGTCGGGGAGGTATGCGCACACCTTGGGGACTTGGCCACAGACAACACTCAAGAAGGCAACGTCCCTTATCATCATCTGCTTTCTGCGCCAACAGCTCGATCTGCTTCTGCAGCACCAGTCCATCAGGCCAGTTACCACACTCGCAATGCCTGTGGTGCAACGCCCCAAGCTGCCCACAGCGCAGACAGTCTGGCGCAGTAGCGTAGCCCTTTTCAAACTTGCGAGCCTGCGGCCATTGGCCGCCTTGCACCAGCGAGTCCAGATAGCCCTGCTCTTTCGCCGTCAAACGAATAGCCATCATCTTGGAAACGAATGAGGCAGCGTCTGCGCGGCCGCACTGGCCCGACTCGACTCCATTACTGCCCCCTGCCCACCACAGGACCGACAGCCTCGAAGCTGCCGCACGGGGCCTGGCTGGCTGGCTCGTCTTGTCGGGCCAGGGACGCAGACAGGCTGCTCTCTCCCAGCGGTGTCTCGGCAACTGGCGCACCACCAGCGATCACCAGCTGTGCCTCGGCATCTGGACCTCCATCCGCAGCCACATCGTTGTCAGAATCGGTAATATCACCCAGCAGATCGTGGAACACGCTAGCCCAGCCCTGACCCGCGTCACTCCGCAGACCCTTCAACGTGCACGAAGACGCGCCAGCGAGCGGCTGGTACCCCGGGCCCAGCATCGACCATTGCGCCCCCGCACGATCCGCACGAGGAAGAAGACGAACCTCAGGAGGCCTATGCCGCGGAGGAATGTATGAAGGCGCCCTTCGCGGTCTCTACTTGGCTGCGGTACCTGGGACGACCTGCTTGCCGAACATGCCCGTCTTACAAGCTGCACCTCCATTGGCAAGCCGCGTCAGCGGCTCCAGTTTTCTTCCGCCTATGAGGTGTTCAAAACCAGCATGCGCTCCAACTTGCTTCCACTGCCACGATTCAACATCACGTTCCAGAAGCCGCCGAACTGCCCATGGTGACGTATCAAACACCTGGACCACGAGGCCGTCGTCGGTACGCCAGCACTCGTCCGATAGCACGGCCCATCCCACTCTATCAAGCGACAGTCTCACTGCTGCAGAAGGCCCCTTGACTTGAGCCCAGCTGGTTGCACAACAATGCATGAGGCCGCACCTGATGACGTGCTGCGGTATCCAGCCGTCCCACGCCGCACGGAGCATGGCCATGACTGGTAACAAAGTTGCCCTACACATCGGGTCAAGGCCTGGAGACAGCATCAAAGTAAGCGACCGCGACCGCCCAGCAGTGGACAGAGCGACGGGCGTGAAAACCAGAGTCCTCAGCTTGTCCAGCTCTGTGCTAGAACAGCCAGTGACCACGAGTCCGTAGCTGACCGACGCCTCCAATCCACTGCGAGCTACCTTGCGCGCAGCACGTCGTCGGCCTTTGCCGCCTTTTAGAAACATAACTCGTCGAATGCGAAGTCCAGCAGCCACCATCTTCTCCTTCCTGACTTTCCTTTGAATGCGCCTGCCACAAGCAAAGTCCACTCCGAGGTTACGTTCAGTGCCAACTGATTGCATACCTAGCGGCCGCCGCAGTCGTTTTTTTCCAAAGCGTGTCTAGCAACTGGCACATTGGACATCGCCCGTGGCTTGGAAGCAGTGATCTTCAAATCCACACTCTCAAGCAAAGTCTGCAAGCGGAAAGCAGCGCCCGAGACCTCTCTCGTAACTCTGACCAGCCCTCCAACTCTATGGAACATCACGTCGCCCACGACAACTACCAACTGAACCGTGGGGCGATGACGCACTAGCATGTCCAAGGGCTTGATCAGGATACGTTTCAACAAAGTCGTGGCAAACCCATCGCCAGGTAGCACGGATTGCCGCGCATCCACCACACCCGATGCCGCACTTCCCAGCGTAGGAATACGAGGAGAACAATACAGCTGCAATGACAACTTCAACTGCCAAAGTGGATACCCCGTTTCAGTGACTGCTGTCACCAGCCAATGATGCCGAATCTGTTCGTAGACATTGAGGAGATCAAGGAGAACTGCAACTGCCGTCCATCCACGCTCGTCTCCCGCTGCCACCCCTTTTCTGGGTAGCCCACTCGCTCATGGCAGTCTGGTGCCACATCGCTCTCTCGCAGGAACGACCTTGCGTGGCCCACCAGAAGGGCCGCGAGTTGCGCGCCTCCCAGGACCTCGCCACATCACGCAGAAGTCTCGCTTGTACTCGGGAAGTGGCCATGATAAGAGCGATAGGCCGAACACCACCTGTTCGCTTTTGAATGAAGCAAACCTTCGTAACCAGTTTCGGCCAAGACGCCTCTCTCTCTCTCTCTCTCACTCTCTCTCTCTCTCTCTCTCTCTCTCTCTCTCTCTCAATGCATTCTACGATACCCGCCAAGACCTCCACACCCGCATCGTCGAGATCCAACAACTGACGTGGGCTGATAGTGTCGAAGGACATGCCCGTCTGCACAGGG